ACCGATTTTTTTTAAGGGTGTCACTCTGTTGTCCAGGCTGGAGTATGGAGTACAGTGGCTATTCACAGGTGCAATCATAACAGATTGCAGCTTCGAACTGCTGGGCCCAAGCGATCCTCCTGCCTCAGCCTCCCAAGTTCCCAAGTAGCTTGGACTACAGGTGTACACCACTATGCCTGGCTAAACCACCTCGTTTCTCCTTTCAGGATCAAGCACCCCAATATTGTAGCCTTGGATGACATCTATGAGAGTGGGGGCCACCTTTACCTCATCATGCAGCTGTGAGTGGCCCCACCTCTGCCCCCCTGCTGACACACCTCTCCCTGCTGTCTCAACCCTCTTGGCCAGACTGCCCTATCCCCTGTTGCAGGGTGTCGGGTGGGGAGCTGTTTGATCGTATTGTGGAAAAAGGCTTCTACACAGAACGGGATGCCAGCCGCCTCATCTTCCAGGTGCTGGATGCTGTGAAGTACCTGCATGACCTGGGCATTGTACACCGGGATCTCAAGGTGAGGCTCGATGAGGTGTGGTGGGCTGGGGTACCCAGAGGTGGGGCCTTTGCAAACCCGAAACTGTCTGACCTTGGACAACTTTCACCCCCTCACTGAGCCTTGGATTTCCATCTACAAGGTGGATCTTATAATCCTTAAACTGCCTCCTCCCATTCTAGTCCAGATACTCAAATGAACACAAAAGTGAATTGTGCTAGTATTTTATCCAAATAAAATTTTATGTCTTTTTCTGATTTAAAAAAAAAAAAAAAAAAAAAAGCAAAACCAGGCATGGTGTCTTACACCTGTAATCCCAGCACTTCAGGAGGCAAGACGGGTGGATCACTTAAGGTGAGGGGTTCGAGACCAGCCTGGCCAACATGGTGAAACCCCTGACTCTACCAAAAATACAAAAACTGGCTAGGTGTGGTGGCAGGTGCCTGTAATCCAAGCTACTTGGGAGGCTGAGGCAGGAGAATCACTTGAACCTGGGAGGCAGAGGTTGCAGTGAGCAAAGATTGCACCATTGCACTCCAGCCTAGGTGACAGAGTGAGACTCCGTCTCAAAAAAAATCCTATTCCCCTTTTGTAGAAAACTTCGATGGGACAGCAAAGCATAAAGAAAAAAGCCAGAGGCTGGGCACGGTGGCTCATGCCTGTAATTCCAGCACTTTGGGAGGCCGAGGCAGGCGGATCACGAGGCTGAGGCAGGAGAATCACTTGAACCCAGAAGGCAGAGGTTGCAGTGAGCTGAGATTGCACCACTGCACTCCAGCCTGGGCGACAGAGCAAGATTGTTTCAAAAAGAAAAAGAAAAAGGCCAGAAATCCCTGAAATCCTACTCCTCAGAAATAGCGATGGGGCTCACATTTAGCAGTCCATCTCTATCCAGTCTAGAAGGGCACTGGGGCTTAAATTCTGGCCCTGCTACTCCCTAACTATGGGTTCTTGGACAAGTCACTTTGCCTCTGAAGGCATCAGTTTCTTCATCTGTAAAATGGGATTACTCAGACTGGCTTGGCAGAGATACGGTGAGGATGACATTAAATCAAGCACTAATCCAGGGTCTGGCATATAGTAGGCACTCAAAAATTTCTTTAGGGCTTTACAGTGCACACCTGAAGTTTATAGAAAGTTCTCTCTCACACTCTCTTGGCCCTTGTCCTTCCTGAAATTTTTGGGCTTCTTGAGAACTTCCTTGATTTTCCTATGGCAGCCATGAAGCCACAGTGGCTTTAGGGGGGTCCATTATTTCTCAGAAGGTGCTTGAAGAGGCAGAAGGTTCTACTGGCCTCTAACCATCTCTGATTGCCCCTTCCCTTCCCTCCTGCCCTCCAAGCCAGAGAATCTGCTGTACTACAGCCTGGATGAAGACTCCAAAATCATGATCTCCGACTTTGGCCTCTCCAAGATGGAGGACCCAGGCAGTGTGCTCTCCACCGCCTGTGGAACTCCGGGATACGTGGGTGCGGAGGGCCCTGGGCTGGGGCTGTGGTGGTGGTGGGGGGGGGAACCAGGAGCTGAATGGCAGAGATTTGTCACCACCATGTCCTTTTCCCTCCATAGCCCCTGAGGTCCTGGCCCAGAAGCCCTACAGCAAGGCTGTGGATTGCTGGTCCATAGGTGTCATTGCCTACATCCTGTAAGTGGGGCTTGGCCATGGTAGGCTGTGGCTCCAGAGTTGTCCTCTCACGCCTGCTTTCCTCTCTTCCTCCCTTTGCTATTCCTTCCTTCCTCCCTCCCTCCCCTTCTTTCCCTTTCCTTCTTCCTTCTACCAATCAATTACTAATATTACTTCATTCAGTAGATACTATGTTTTAGGCACTGTGCCAGGCACTGGGGATTTAGCAGAGAACAAACGAGACAAAGTGCCTGCCCTCAGGGAGCTTTCTTTCTAGTAGGGAAGACAGCCAATCAACAAGTAAATAAATCTACAAAATAATGTCAGGAGATAAAAATAAATGCTGTGTAGTGACACACGGCTATGAAAATAAATAAATAAATAAATAAATAAATAAATAAATAAATAAATACTGTGGGGAGAAACCAAGCAGGGATAGGGAGATGGGGGTGATGCCATTTCAGTAGGGAGGTCAGGGAAGGGCTCGCTGTGGAGGTGATGTTTCAGTGGTGAGGCCGCCAGACATTCAAGGTGTGGGGAAAGAGTGGCGTAGGCAGAGGCAATGGCAAGTGCAAAGGCCCTGAGGATGGCAAGATGGCAACACATTCAAGGAACAGAAAGGACAATGTAGCTAGAAGGGGAGTGAGTAGGCAGGCAGGGCTGTGTAGTTTCCATGGGGAACTCCTTCCTGTGGGTCCTGCCTGACCCCTGGGACTGCCCCAGCGCTCCACCCTGGAGCCAACTGGTGCACCTGAAAGTGGAAACGAGGATGAGTTTCTCCCTGCCCAGGCTCTGCGGTTACCCCCCCTTCTATGACGAGAATGATGCCAAACTCTTTGAACAGATTTTGAAGGCCGAGTACGAGTTTGACTCTCCTTACTGGGACGACATCTCTGACTCTGGTATTTGGGGCTTTTCCCTTTTCCCCGGGCCCTGCCTCTGGTCCTTCCCTCACCTGCTTTGGGGGCGGTCTCCCTCCTGCCTGCCTTCTGTCTGATTCTCCAGCACCACACTAAGAGCTGTCTTTGAAACCAGACACCCTACCCTGGGCGCTTCTCTCTGCTTGGCTCCTAGAGTGAGAAATTTTAGGCATTCATTCGTTCAATCTTCAAACATAGTCTATTTGAAACTTTTCCCCTACTGACTTCTAATGCCTAAAACACCACCATAAACATTATCATCCCTCCTTTTGTGCCCCCTATTAAGAAGCAAACCTGTGAAGCTACTATCAATTGTTTATGCATGGGTATAAATACACTGAGATTACTCAAGAACAAGTTTTTCATTTTTCTTTTTTTTTTTTTTTTGAGACAAAGTGTCGCTCTGTCGCCCAGGTTGGAGTGCAGTGACACGATCTTGGCTCACTGCAGCCTCCACCTTCTGGGTTCAAGCAGTTCTCCGCCTGTCTCCCGAGTAGCTGGGACTACAGGTGCACGCCACCACGCCTGGCTAATTTTTGTATTTTTAGTAGAGATGGAGTTTTACCGTATTGGTCAGGCTGGTCTCAAACTCCTGATCTCAGGAGATCCACCTGCCTTGGCCTCACCACTGTGCTTGGCCAAGAACAAATTTTTCTTAAGAAAGGAAAGAGCTGGAAGGCTTGGGGTGGAGTGGGAGGGTTTGAAGAAGAGCACAGGTAGGGTGGGATAGGGCACGGACTGATCTGGCCTCTTTGTCTTGTTTTGATGCCAGGCCAGACCTGAGGGAGTGGGTATCTTGGGGGGTCCACAGGCACTATCATGCCGTCAGTCTTTGCTTTTGTCTTGGTGGTTTAGCCAAAGATTTCATCCGGCACTTGATGGAGAAGGACCCAGAGAAAAGATTCACCTGTGAGCAGGCCTTGCAGCACCCATGGTGAGAATTCACACAAGCTGTGAGCTGGGTGGGATCTGGGGCCCCCAGGTCTGCCTCTGCCCTCAAAGGCAGCCCATCACACAATCTCATTCTAGGATTGCAGGCGATACGGCTCTAGATAAGAATATCCACCAGTCGGTGAGTGAGCAGATCAAGAAGAACTTTGCTAAGAGCAAGTGGAAGGTGAGTCCGTATCCCTAGTTCTGGTCCCAGCCTCCCCAGGACTCCTCCCCATCCCTATCCATGCTCAGCTTGCACAGCACCTAGCACCAAGCTAGTCATACAGTAACTGCCTAGGGATCCTTACTGAAGAACTTCATTCATTCAACAAACACTCCCAATATCTTCCCTTTTCCAGAGAGGTTCCCTCACCTCCAAGTCTTGAGGGAGAAGGTATAATTCTTCAGGAGGCATCTGATTCAGCTTATGGGGTCCGGGAAAGATCATAAATGTGGTGATGACCCGACAGAGCTGTCAGTGAAGTTGGAATCAGCCAGGCACAGTGGAATAATGTCTGCAGCCATTCAGGGAAGTGCCAGTGCTAAGCCTGGCCAGACAGGAGGGCCTGAGGGGATTGAGAGACTGGAGCCCAGGTTGGAGAGGCAGATAGGGGCCAGGCCTCTTAGGGCCTCAGATGCCAAAGAGGAGCACCAGCTTTATCCTGAGGGCACTGAGGAGCCCCAGCAGAACCTGAGGCAAGAATCTGCTGCATAGCAACAGCTCTCAGGGCTGAGCAAGGTGGCTCATGCCTATAATGCCAGCATTTTGGGAGGCCGAGGTGGGCAGATCACCTGAGGTCAGGAGCTTGAGACCAGCCTGGCCAACATGATGAAACCCTGTCTCTACTAAAAATACAAAAATTAGCTGCACATGGTTGTACGTGCCTGTAATCCCAGCTGCTCGGGAGTCTGAGGCAGAATTACTTGAACCTGGAAGGTGGTGGTTGCAGTGAGCCAAGATTGTACCACTGCACTTCAGCCTGGGTGACAAAGTGAGACTCTCTCTCAAAAAAAAGAAAGAGCTCTCAGGATGCAGAGAATGGCATGGAGTAAAGACTGGGTGACCCATTAGGAGGCTGTGAGAGAGATACGGGCAGGAGAGGTTAAAGGTTTGGATCACAGTAGTAGCAGCATGGGTGGAGAATAACGGTTGACCCAGGGGTCATTTAGGAGGTGGAACTAAGATGTGATGATGGAATGGACATTGGGGGAAAGAAATGTCAAGGGCTGGCCCAAGCTTGTGGTTGGGAACAGAGTGGACAGTGGTACCATGACTGAGATGGTAATCACAGGGACAGAAACATGTCTTGGAGGCATGGTTTTAGTTTTAGACATGGTGTGTGGGATAGCTAGGTGGACATGTTGACTAGAGACACACACACACACCTGGGCAAGTTACTTCAGCTTTCTGTGCCTCAGTTTGCTTCTTTAAAAATGGTGATATTAATTAGCTGGGTGTGGTGGTGCGTGTCTGTAATCTCAGCTACTCAGGAGGCTGAGGCAGGAGAACTGGTTGAACCTGGGAGGTAGAGGTTGCACTGAGCCGAGATCATGCCACTGCACGCCAGCCTGGGAAACAGAGTGAGACTACGTCTCAAAAAAAAAAAAAAAAGAAAGAAAGAAAAAGGAAATGGAGATATTAATAGCACATACCTCAAAGACTTGTGAAGATCAAGTGAATTACTATGTAAAGTGCTTAGAGCAGTAGCTGACACACAGTGCTATATAGCGTTTGCTATTACATACTAATATGAGAGTTATGTGTCTATTTTTATATATATACATATATTTAACATATGTGCATGTGTGTATAAATATATAACAAAGCCTTGTAGAGGTTTTTGAGGGGCTTTTGGGGAATCAATAAAATAACATCTGAATGAAAATAACAGAACAATTGCAAGAATCCCACTACGCCCCTGCCCCATGACTTTTGACTCTCTCAAAAGTCCCTTCTTCCCTCTGCCTACAGCAAGCCTTCAATGCCACAGCTGTGGTGCGGCACATGAGGAAGCTGCAGCTGGGCACCAGCCAGGAGGGGCAGGGGCAGACCGCAAGCCACGGGGAGCTGCTAACACCAGCAGCTGGGGGTGAGGAGCAGGCTCTGCAGAAGGGCATGGGTGGTTGATGAAGAGGCACCTGGGCTGGAAGGGAGGGCCTGCCCCTTCGGCCAGCTTTGTTCTCTCTTCCCATGCAGGGCCAGCAGCTGGCTGCTGCTGTCGAGACTGCTGCGTGGAGCCGGGCCCAGAACTGTCTCCCACACTGCCCCGCCAGCTCTAGGGCCCTGGACCTTGGGTCAGGATCCCCTATGTGGGAGGGCTTGAGGGCAGCCTGCTCCCCTTCCCTCCCTAAACTGGGAGTTTCCCTGCCCTGTCCCCTCCTCACCCACTTCCCCAGCATTCCTCACTGCATTTTCCATACAAATGTTTCTATTTTATTGTTCCTTCTTGTAATAAAGGGAAGAAGATAAAACCATCTTTGGCTCTGTTTCCCCAAACAGCCCCCACCCCACCTTGTTGTGCAAACTGACTGCTTGATTTAGGGGTACCTGGCCCTTGAGGTAGTTGCAGGGAGGCCCCTCCCCAACATGAGACTGGGTAGGGATGGGGAGACAGAAGTGGGGAATGGAGAGGAAGGTGCTTGGGGAATTTCTTTGTCCAAGGCGCCCCATCTAGTCTTCCGGCCCTTTGGAACCTTTTCTGCGCTTTGCTGGTGCCTCCTGAGCACGGCGGGATTGACGCAGGTCAGCACTGAACAGCACCTGTAGGAGGGTGGAGTCTGTGTGGGGAGGAGGGTACACTGCGGTCGGTCGGGGCTGGTGGGACTAGTGACAGTGTTGGGAGGTGGAAGAGTCCATGGGGAACAGGGCCAAAGGCAACGAGAGTTCACTGGGGTTGGGACGGCTGGCTGGAGAGTCCTTTAGGGCCACCTGCGGTGGTGGTAGTGGAAGAGTCCACTGGGTTAGGGCTGGAGGAGAAGTCCTATGGGGTCTGGGCTGGAGAAGGGGAAACCTAGGTATACTCACTGCTTGTGCCCAGCCAGCATAAGGTCCCCACAGGCTCCGGAAAAAGTTTCCTAAATCAGAAGTAATAAGGCTGTTATCTGACCCCTTCTGTGACCCATCAACAGAGGTAGGGTCTGAGGGAGAGGTGACTAAGAGAGAAGTTTCCACCGTCCCAGCCCACTGCCAGCCCCTGCAGCCCACTTTCTCTCCTCACCCAGTTCCTTGTTGGTCTGGGGGCTTGGGCCCTTTGACTGGGACGTGGTAGGGTGCCAGCTGTAGTCACGTTGGGCAATCTGCCACATGTGGACATCCACAGGCACAGCCTGGGGCTTGTCTAGGGCCATCAGGCAGATGCAGTCAGCCACCTTTGACAGACACAGAATGAGTCCTTGAGGAAGAAGGACAGCATCCGGCCAGCATCTTGCTTATAGCCCCAAAGCCAGCTGCTTTCTCGTTCACTCTGGGGTTACTGTTGTTCTATATTCTCAATCAATAAATACTATCTATGAATACACTTTGTTTTTACAGATGGAGTCTTGCTTTGTTGCCCAGGATAGAGTGCACTGGTACAATCTTGGCTCACTGCAACCTCCGCCTCCCAGGTTCAAGCAATTCTCCCGCCTCAGCCTCCCACCACATGTTGCTAATTTTTGTATTTTTAGTAGAGACAGGGTTTCACCATGTTGGCCAACCTGGTCTCGAACTCCTGACTTCAAGTGATCCACCTACCTCGCCCTCCCAAAATGCTGGGATTACAGGCGTGAGCCACCATGCCCAGCCTATGAATACACTGAAATAGCTGTAAAAAAAAGCTGGTACTGGGGTGAACACCTATGTGGGCCAGGTTCTTATCATAACCTGGGAAGACGGTATTACCACACCCATTTTACAGACAAGAAAACTGAGGGTCTGAAAGATGAAGTGACCTGGTCAAAGTCACATGGCTAAGAATAGGCAGAACCAAGATTTAATGTTAGGCCGTAGTCCAGAGCCCATCAAAAAAATTCTTTAAGCAAAAATTAATTTCTTAAACTACAGAGAAGTGTAAAGAGAAAAAAAAAAGGTTGGTGTGGTGGCTCATGCCTGTAATCCCAGCACTTTGGGAGGCCGAGGCAGGTGGATCATGAGGTCAGGAGTTTGAGACCATCCTGGCCAACATGGTGAAACCCCTGACTCTACCAAAAATACAAAAA